TCGCGTCTTCTGGCGGGGGCGTTGGCGTCAGGCTTCCAGTGCTGAGCGCTACCTGCAAGCCGCCGCCGCTTCCACAGTTCTTGCTGCGCTGCCCGTGCCCGCACGGGCGCGGATCCTGTTCTTCGCCACCGCCAGCGACCGCCTTGTCGCTTCATTTCTCCAAGTCGGCCCCGCCGCTTGGCCTGCCCTACTTGCGGCCGCCCGCCGAAACCTTGTCACTTCGCAAGGTCCTTGAGCACGGGTATGGCTGCCTCGCCGTCGTCGGCGAGCAGGCGGTCTCCCCCGCCTGACGCGCGGCGCCCCGGCACGAGCGCGCGGGACGGGCCTGCCCATTTTGGGCCGCCCCGCGCGCGCGAGCCGCGGCCGCGCTCGGAGACAGCTCGCTAGCGCGCGAGCGGGAGAATGCCTCTTCTATTCTCTGTGAGCAAGCTCCTGCTGTCTCCGCAGCTTCTCTGCCCCCCTCCCTCCTCTCCCAATCTAAGGCTGATGGGCGCTGCCTCGCCGTCGTCGGCGAGCAGGCGGTCTCCCCCGCCTGACGCGCGGCGCCCCGGCACGAGCGCGCGGGACGGGCCTGCCCATTTTGGGCCGCCCCGCGCGCGCGAGCCGCGGCCGCGCTCGGAGACAGCTCGCTAGCGCGCGAGCGGGAGAATCATCATCATCATCATCATCATCATCATCATCATCATCGTCATCGGAATCATGCGTGCCTTGGGCAGCGATGGGGGGGATGGCCCCAGGGGGTGGCGCGTCGACGCCCAGTCGCACATATCATTGCCGACGGAGGGTAGCAGTCCCGCCCGGGAGCGAACGGTGCGCCGATCCATGGGCCACGCACGAGAGGTCCGATTCAAGCTCGAGGAGGTGCCCTTCGCCCCCCGGGAGCCGCCACCCCCCCTGGCGTCCACCCCCACCTCTGAGCTGCGTCGCCTCTTCGGGGGCCCTGGTCTTCCTTGCACTGGCGGTCTTGTCCTGTGTCCGACGCGGGTTCGACGCGGATTCCGCATCCCCGTCCAATGCGCGTCGAAGCAAGCGACGCTGGTGCAGCGTGGTTGGGCCGCGGGGGGGACGACGACAGCAACAAACAGCAACAAACAACAAACAGCAAACAGCAAACAACACACAACGACAACAACAACAACAACAACAACAACAACAACAACCGCAACAACATCAACAACAACAACACCAACAACAACAGCAACAACAACAACACCAACAACCACAACCACAGCCACAACCACAACCACAACAGCAACAGCAACAGCAACAGCAACACCAACAACAACAATAACAATCATGTTGATACTGTTCGCTCTTATCTGCTCGAGTGTCATTCAGCGTGCATTTCCCGAACCCTCGATACCCGCCCTTTCGTTTTCGATCATACCACTTTCGGTGGGTATATTTTGCCTTGTGAGTCCTGCGTGATTAGCCAGGAAATTTCCAGCGAGAGAGCGATTCCTGAGTGAATTTGAGGAAGTCCCCAGCGAACGTGCGATTCCTGAATGGCAAGTTCGCGCGGCGCCTGAGTACATTGCGAGGAGGTCTCAGGCAGGAGCGCGATTCTTGAGTAAACTGCGAGGAAGCCTCAAGCGGGAGCGGGGGACCCAGAGTAAATCTCGAGGAAGTGTCCAGCGGGAGCCGTTGTTGTTGTAAGCTGGGGGCCAGGGGCACAGTTTGAGGAGTAAGATTTCCCCCGATAAAAAGAAACAGGGTGCGAGTGCCTGGATGGGGGCGCATGCTGGCGGTAGCACCGGGGCGCATGCGGGCGGTACCGCCGGGGCCGTCGGCGGAGCTCCCTACGGGGGGCACGTCACTGAAAAAAGAGAATGTGCACCGGAGGGGGGGGGGTCAACAATAATGGTCCTTCAGTAATGAGAATTCAACACATCAACAACAACATCAACATCACCAATAACAACAACGTCGACGACGACGACAACGGTAACACCACCACCAACAACAAAACGGGCGCTGCTGATAGATGTAGGGCCGGCGCCTTCAAAGAAGCAGCCTCCTTCCAAGAAGCCCTCCCCCCTCCCTCCACCCCCGTTGTCCGCGCCGCCACGTAACCGTCTGGGCCGAGCTTGTGGCGAGAAGGCCTCGCCCTCGGTACGAGCCCTCTTCTCGGACAGCACGCTGCCTGGTGCCGGTGGCTGGGTCTCTCCATCCTGCGGCCACTGTTGTTCTCGCTGCACGGTCGGCAAGTTGGCCGGCCCCCTCGCAGCCACTACTGCAGATCGGGGATGGATAGACCTCCTACCCTGGCCGTTTTCGGTTCGCGAGAGGGCGTCACGGCCGTTACTCTTGCGGGTCCAGGTCCGTCGGTTTCGGCCCCAGGCCGTTTTCACTAAACGGTGGTTCACTAAAGGGAGGTTTGTCCACCACCGAAAAGAGAATTCGTTTAACATGCAACTTCTGCACCGTTGCCGTGCGAGCTTCTAGTTTCAAACCGTTCGGGTGAGGAAGAGTTCGAAAGATCAGATGCAGCTTCGGGGTCGTGGGCTGAGTGCCTTGCGAGCTCGAGAGGCTGTGGACTCAGAGGAATCCGGGGCGAAACGCCTCTCTGCTCGCCTCTCGGCTCGCTCTCCCGCTCGAGTGCACGAGGTGCTGCTGAGGGGGCAGGTACCTTCAGACTTACGTCGTGCTTGTTCTTCTACAGGAGGAAAATTCAAACATAGTAAGAGATAGTCTGGGGACGATGTTTCCATTATTTTTTGACTCTGTCTGATGTTTCTGACTCAAGTTTGTTTCGAGTATGTTTGAACATTTTTGGGAGTTTGTTAGTTTTTTTTTCTCGTCCAACGTCCGCCTGCAGGAGGACACGCCCGACCTAACTCTAGGCGCTGTACTGTTATTCAATTTGCTGCAGGAGGGCCGCCTTGGGCCGCCTCAGACGACTCAGGAAGGACAGGGGCGGGGTACGTTTGGGCGGGAGGAGTCCGGCGAGGCTGGCGCTTTGTGCCATCAGGTCCTGCTGTGGGCCATCCTCAGGACACAGGTATGCACGGCGTCAAACAGAATATCAGCCAGCGTTGACTCCAAATAGATAGGAGGACAGGCGTTGGACGAGAGGAGGATGGGAGGAGGACGAAAGGAGGACGGGAGCAGGACGGCAGGAGGACGGGAGGAGCACCATCAAGCAAGCGCAAGCAAGCAAGCGCAAGCAAGCGAGCGCAAGCGAGCAATAACAAGCAAGCAAGAGCCAGCGATCAAGTGCCAGCAAGCAAGGGCAAGCAACAGCAAGCAAGCGAGAGCAAGCACGCAAGCAAGAGCAAGCAATCACAGCAAGCAAGTGCAACCAAACAAGCAAGCAAGAGCAAGCAAGCACAGGAATACATGCGACTCATAAGAATCCATAGGAATCCATCGGACTCGCCATTGAAAATAGCTGGGGGGTGCCATTTGAAATAAGGGTGTGTGCCATAGGAAGTTGGGTGGGGGGGCATAGGAATTAGGGGGGGAACGAACCAATTATATGGTTTGAAAAGCTTGGGATAGGGGTCAACATATCCAGTGTTGTCCCTGGCGACTCGGACGTACTCCTCGTACTCGTGGGGTTCGGGTGGGGGGGGGGGGCGACAAGCATGCGGCATGGGCAGCCGCATGAGCACCGATCGCTTCGACGTATCGATCCCCAGCGGCTGCAATCCGGTCTTGAGCCGCGAAGGCGGAGGTGATCTTTTTGCTGGGAACGTTTTGGGATGTGGCATCGGCGTCGTTGGCACCTCCTGCGGGATCCGCCGACGCTGGCGATCCATTGGCGATACATCTGAGAATTGAGGGGAGATCGTTGAAGAGGGACGGAGCGGTGAAGGAGGGAGCGGTGAAGGATGAGGATGAGGAGAAGGAGAGATACTGGATGGGGAAACGCTGTCTCTTTTGGTGGTGCAGTGCCGTGTCCGGGGTGCCCTGGCGGGATGTCGCCCCCCGTCAGGGACCTGCAAAAATAGCGCCCTGATCGGCACCGCACCCCGCCATTTATTCGCCACTGACGATGCCTTCTTGGAGTGACCTCTTACACACTGTAACTGGAAGTCCTCCTGACGCCGCGTGAGGGCTCCACAAGGCTGTCCAGACAGCCTAAAATTAGCAACACATGCATTGAATTCGTCAGGTTGGCATGTGGTTTGTCGTCTTCGTCTGCGGCCGCCGTTCGCACTATGCTTGACAGCTTTGCGCGTGTTTGGCGTGCCGACTCCATCGGAAGTTGCCTTTCTCAGTTTTGCACGTGTTTGGCGTGCCGACTCCATCGGAGGTCGCGCCGATTCGATATAAGCGCTCGTTATGGGGCCCCCTTTTCCGTGCCCTTAGTCTACATTTAGTAAGAGTTTGACGTGCCGATTGGCGACTGGCACGCAGGACAACGGAGGAAACGCGGTACGCACGACGGTGGAGGAGCGAGGAGGGAGGACGAGCAGGGAGAAGGGGTGTGGAGGAGGACGATGAGGAGAAGGAGCAAGGAGGAGTAGTAGGAGGAGGAGGAGGAGGAGGAGGCGAAGGAGGAGGAGGAGGAGGATGGAGGAAGAGAGAGGAGGAGGAGGAGTAGAGGAGGTGGAGGAGAGGAGGAGGAGGTGGAGCGAGGAGGGAGGACGAGCAGGGAGAAGGGACATGTGCACGGGGATACGCGAGGAGCCGCCTCCCTGGCCTCCTCCCTCCGTCCTCCGACGCGCGACGGAGGGAGGAGGCCAGGCCGGAAAAGGCAGGGGCACGTGGAATGTGGAGCGGGAAGGGCCGTGGAGGACGGAGGGATCTGAGGAGGAGGAAAAGGAGGAGGAGGAGGAGGAGGAGGAGGAGGAGAGGGAGGATGAGGA